CCCTATAAACTAAGCTTGTTATTCCAGTTTGGTCCTTGCATCTGTCAAACAATTTTATTAAGCTGTATGCTAATTTGCTGCTCACACTCTGCCTACATGTATGGACTGACAACTTCCATTTCAATGTATCTGAAGAAGTGTACTTGCACATGAAAGCTTATACCTTGAATAAAACTTTGTTGGTCTTGAAGGTGCCACTGGACTCGAACTTTTTTTCTGCTGCTTCAGACCAACACGGCTACCCACTTAAACCTATTTCAGTTCCAATCAGTGTTCCCTCTAAGCTGAGTTAGCATGAGCTATCTCACAGTTTTTTAGCCTCCAGCTCACATGTTTTTGTATTAGCTCAGGAAGGATGGCTCCAGAGCAAACTAATTTATGCAGTAGCCAAATCACTCACTCACAACTTTAATGCCAGTAGCTCATAAAGTAGAATTTTTGCTCACGAGACTCCACAGCTTAGAGGGAGGATTGGTTCCAATGTATTTGAAGAATTGTGCGTGCCTATTGACACAGTGGCTCTAAGTCAACATGCACTGGAAGCTGCCATCTCAGCCAAAAAGACACTGCACAAGAACACAGAAATAGAGATTTACTCAACGACTAAACTTCTTTTTATTTAAAAGAAAAAAATAAATACTGCAGAAACAATACCCAAACATACAAAGTGACCGACATTTGTTAAAAAGTGATTGCTGTTCTGTTGAAACAGCTAACTTTTTTTTCCTTTTTACAATATTTAAATACAGAAAGCACTTGCCTGCTTTTTTTTTTTAATACTGCCTTAAGCATACCATCGCATCAATCAAAAGCATATTATGGTGGCAACGTTATCTGGAAATTGTGGAAATAGCACTTCAAAAAACAAAACAAAACTGAAGCTTTGGCAAAAAAAGAGAGAGAGAGAAAATGCTTGCATTTCAACAAGCTGCAGAGAGCTGCACTAGCTGTATCATCTACTGTGTCCTCTAAAGCATAACATCTGCAAACTATTTTCCAGGATTGGCTTAGTAGATGTAACAATAGTCATCAGTCAGTGAAAAAGAATTTGACAGAATCTGGGTCACACAAGAAATGCTTAATGATCACTGAATATGCCTGCATTAGACCTTCCGGATTAAAGCAATATCCAGTTTCCACTTGGGACCCCTTAAAGGCCCCCCCTGTTCTTCAGACCCTCTCCTTCCCATATTCTCATTACATGTAAACAGAAAGGTGTAATAAGAGATGGTCACCCAAATTGCAGCTGTTTTCAAGAAGCATCATAATGGGAGGTAATTAGGTACATTGGCTCATGTGCTTGCTTTAAACACAAATCAACACCCCATCCCCAGTACAGAATTGTAGAAAAGTTGTATTAGCAGAACAGCACTTATTCCCTTACACAGTGCCGAGGTTTGCCTCCTTCATACTAAAGGAGCCAATCACAAGGGCGATAAGACTAAAACTCCTTTCTAATTAAGGGCCTTTCATAACTAACTCTTAGCACCATTCATCAGGCTTTGGAACTCAACCCATGGCATCCATGCTGTACTAAAAACATGTCCTTATCAAAGGCATCAAAATGTAGCTGTGAAACCACTGCCAAAATTTTGCATTCATTACTTCACTGAAGAGGAGAATTCTGTACTTGAGAACAGATAATCTTTTAATCCCTTTGCCTTCTAAAGGTGATTTTCATACCTGCCTTTCTTTCTCTGTTCATTGTAGAAATGAGTGTTTTAAAGCTGGGGCTTCCTCTTGATGACCCAAAATACATTTCCTATTTTTTTAAAAGGATGAACTAGAAGGAAATAAGCAACTATATTTTTTGGGGAAAACCAAACTATGGCATGGGCAAGCTCCACAGTGAAGAAAGAGTAGGAATATTTTCAATTTTTTTTGAAAGCAACATATTAACATGTAATCAAAAATCAAAAGTAGGTATTCAAAACAGATCTAAAAATTAAGCATACGCCAGGACATTGTTTTCTTCAGGTGTTGCCATTCTTTTCATTGCCTTTGCACATTCAAATAGTTTCCTTTGTATCTGGTATTTCAACCAAGCAACATTGACGTCTTTTCAGCATCCATCTCTTTCCAAGGCGTCCTCTAAATGTCCACTCCCAAGTATAGTTTCTTGCATACAAAAAGTGAACCACGGCCTTTAAGCACAGATCTGTGCCCGAACCATTTCCACTGGGCACTTCTTGCCAAGTCTTTGCCACCACACCCAATGACAATGTCCTTTGCATCTCCATTACAAAAACATGCCCCTTCACATCACTGTACAGCTCTTAGCTTTGTCCTTTCGCAGATCTGTAGTGACTGTAGAGAGTTCCGGCCTGCCAGGCATGTGTGAAATTCGTTTTGTTGCCCTCTGTGACTTGTTCCGCTTAACATTTTTATTTGTTTTGTTCACGCATGCCAAGGTAGCAACGTGAAAAATGTCTCTTACACTGTTTTCCGACTGCAAGGCTGAGCATTCAATGTAAGTGGCTGCTCCAATCTGCTTGGCCATGTTGGCACCCTGTTGGGTGGGGAAAGAAGTACACAGAAAACGGTTACAAAAAAGCCATGCCAATCAAATCAAACCATACAATTATGTCTTGATTATAACCCGTATACATGATGACTAATGAGGTGAAGACAATATAAAAGGTTAAAGAAATAAAATTAGTTTTGCCCCTCAAAAATGTGGAAGGGTATCCATAACTTAGGTTCATTGTTCCCACTATAGCTGGGCTTTTGTCGCCAAATTTGATCACTGACCTCTTAAAGATATGCTTGACACCAGCCTATTGATACAAAGGAGGAACTGAGGAGTTTCAACATAGCTGTAAGTAAGACCCTCCTTTTTAATGGGCATTTCTGGACTGGAGCAAGAGCATTCAGGAAGGAGAATCACATCTATGCTTACAGTGTGCTCCTGTCATCAGAAGCTTGCAACTTCAGATCAACGGACTCAAGAACTGGCAGGCACCACTGTAGCAATCAACACTCTTGCAGTGATGTCCATGCACCACGCCCTATTAGTAAAGGTGATAATGCGCAGCTCCAACGGAAAGCTAGGAAGGGATAAGGATCTGGTGGAGCCCATTTATACAGCCCTGGGGGACCTTTGGTCCCATGTGGCACATGGCAGTCTTCAAGTGGGTGAAACATTTTGGGGGGGTTTAGAGGGATCCAGCATGGCTGGAGAAATGTACCTTACTTCTCAAGTGCTGCATATGGCTTTCATTGTGGCACTATCCAATTCCTGCACAACTAAAGTAGACACAGAGTTGGGTTGTTGGGTTGAATAGCTTAAAGTTTATCAAGTGGTGACCTTCAGCCTAACAAACCCAGAAACAAACTCATACCAACCCAAATAGCTTTGAAACAGAAATCCAACCATATTTCTCAAGTGAAACTACCCTGTCTCTTTAAAATATTTCTTAAAACTCCTGACTGGAACTACTGAAAAGCCAGCAGCTTATGATAGGCAAGCAAATCTCTGCTAGCTATGTGGCTTCAGACTAGGACTACAATGGAGCTGGCAGCAAAGAAAAATAAATCCTGTTCAGCTGGTAGCTTGGCAAACTCCACAGGATTTATAGTGAAACAGGTTTAGTTTCAGCTGCATGGTGTATGTTATTTCTAAACCAAACTTTTAATTCTCTCATTAAATCGTCAGGATTAACCTTGAACGCCATTTGAAAGCCTAAATTCCCAATTATTTCTACTAAACCACTTACTCCTGCTTAATAACAACCAAGGGCTTTCAAAGTAAAGCTAAGAGATGTCCACAGTCCCTGCCTCAAACTTAAGAGGATTCTCCAGATTCCAAGCGGTACAAAGATTTGCCACTAGCATAACAAAATGCCTCATGTGCTTCAGCATGGTAGAGCATCCTATCTAATTGGAAAGGTCTAGAAGACACCCAGAAATTGCAGGCTACTTGGTGTTAAGATGAACAGAGATAGAATTCTGAGTTGGTTCACCACTACTGAGGCAAGGAGTTTGGTGCTACTCCTGTATTCAGAAAGAGTCTCAAACCAACATTCATTTATACTCCACCTTTTCCCCCAATGGGGATCCAAAGCAGCTTACATCTTTCTCCTCTACTCCATTTTATCCTTACAGAATCCCTGTGGGGTTATTTGGAGGGCTTTGTTTCAGTCTACAAAACGTAGCTCTTTGAGGATTCTGGCTGTAAGCATAGGACACATCCTAAATTCTTGAATCCAGACCAGGCTTAGAAACGTCTTTGGAGCCTCCATCAAGAAAGGAACTATTCTATGGGTGTTCTACTGATTAGGCTTGCCAAGTCCCCCCAGGGGGCAGGGAAACCCCCACCCCAGAGGCCCATTATCTGCCACTGGCGGATCGGGCCCCGGGGGAAACCCCACCCCCAAAGTACATGACATGCCCAATGTCAGCACGTCACCCGGAAGTGACGCAGCAACGCCGGGCGCGCTGGGGCCGCGGTCATCCGAGGGAAAGCTCTATTTTTCCCTTGGATGACTGCGGCCCTGCCCCCAGCACGGACGCGTCACTTCCAAGTGACGTGGTTGCGGCGCACGTGTGCACGCACTCCCGGACCACGGCTGGAGTCCTCCACTGTGCATACAGCGGGGACTTGGCAACCCTACTACTGATAGAAACATGATGAGTATTCTATGCTGCTATGGTGCTATGAGAGGGGAAAAGGGTAATTTCTCTCCCTTTGCCCTACCTCACTGCAGCAGCCCCCCAGCCCTCATGGCTATTTATCCACATGGGTTCTGTAACCCCCAGGAACAACCTTTTCTGGTATCAAAATGGACTGCAAGGCTGGAGAAGAATGGCCGGGGGGGGGGGGGGGGAGGAAAATCAGCATTCTGTTGGCAATTTGTAGGATACAAGCCATTGCGTACCTTTCAGGCGTTTCTAACCCACCCTAGGCTAAGTATTTCCCTAAAATGATTGTGCATGAGCTTGGGGTTCAGCCTCTAATGGAATGAGGTTGGGGAATACCTCGGGCATTGCATACCAGGAAACAATACAATGGAAAGTTGGGTGGGGAGGAATAATAAATACCAGAAGTGAAATGGAAAGTAATTTTATTCTTTAGGCAGTGGACAAATTCACCTATTATTGTGACACATGACAGTCAAAACACTGGGCATGGTCAACAGTCATATAGCTTTTATAGCATGGTTTTGTTCAGAGTCTTACCTTCCAGTCTCAAGCCTCACACTACCATTCTCTGCCATAAATGGGGCCTGCCTGACCACCACCTTCTGGCTTTCATGGCTGCTTTTTAAATTGGGGGGGGGGGATAGATCTTGAAGTGGTTCATTGTCTTGTTGCTGCAGGATATGAATCTTGACCAAACCTTTCTACCAGGTTCCTTGCAAGATGCATCAAGGACAAAGGAAAAACAGTCCCATCTCCTAAACTTTAAGGTCCCAGCTCAAACTGAGTGCTTACTGTCTACATTTCCACTAGTGTTAGAAATCCATGGCTCAGTTGAGAGTGCAGGTATGCAGAGAAACCTCTGAAGTCTGGAGGGAGCTCACAATTCTATGCATGTGAGCAATTCAAGGAAGATTATTGTTCGCATTAGAAATAAAGGGAAATACTTTGTTTAGGCCCCTGCCACACGGCAGGGGAAAAGCCTCTTTAAGGCGCGGCTTTTAAAAGCCGCGCCAACGTTGACACGGCGCGGCGGGATCCCACGGATCCCCCGGCCGCGCCGCCTCTTCTCCCCGGCGCGATCAAACGCTGGGGAGAAAACACGGCCCTAACCGGGGGCCGGCCGAACTGTGCATGTCGGAGCATGCGCAGTTGGGATCCGGGCCGGGGTTGTGCCGGCGTAAAGATGCGCCGGCGATCAAACGCCCGGTTAGAAGCGCCTCTTCCATTTGAACCACCTAAGATAGGTGGTTCGGTTTGAGGCGGATTTCTGCGGGGAAGGGACAGTTTGGCCACGGAAGCAAGACGCTTCCCAGATGTTGTGGTGTGATCGCGCCGGTTTGATCCGGCCCCGAACTGTCCCGCTCCTGGCTCAAATCGGCCAGTGTGAACGGGACCTTAGGCTTGCTTCTAGAGTAATAAGGAAGGAACAGCTTTCTACTTCACTCAGCTCCCTCTTTTTAAAGACAGAATTCATTGACAAGTTCCAATAGGCAGAGGTCTTATCCCTGTGATGTGCAAGGAGGTTAATGTCATAAAACTAGGCAAGCACATGCATAAGACTTGAAGCACAAGAAAACTCAGACCACAAGTGTTACAGTTGTACTTGGAAGCAGGCCTCCCTGTTTTTAAAGGGAGCATTTCTTCTGCATAACAGCCTTAGAAGGAGGCAATTTGCCTATTTCTCTAACATGGACTTTAGTTTAAGGAGTTTTATAATTAAATATAAATAAATACCATAAAGGGTTCATGCTGCAATCCCATGGAAAGAAGAGGGGCTGCAATTAGTTTCACATATATTTCCATTTCCCAGGTTGAGAAAGGGCACTGTCTATACACATACATTCATGCAGTTTTTAAGAGGCACAGCACCACTCTGTTTTATTGTTTAGCATAACAAAGGACCAAAAAAGAAAAGGAAAAAAGAAAAAGAAAAAAAAGACTGGACTGTCTTCTCTCTCTTTGCTGGAAGGAAGAACATGGTTAAGCCAGATGGATCTATGCCCAGTTTTGTTACATAGCTTGGACAAGAGGTGAAGAAAATAAGTATAAAACTGGCAGATGTGGATGGAATAAGAGTTACAGAATTGGTTGGGTTATCAAATGCAGTGCTTCCTCCATCTGGAGAATTTTGGCCTGCGACTGTGAAGAACAAGCTTGGGTACTTGTTTTCACCCTACAAATACCCATCACTTCCAAGTCAGGCATTCAACATGAACATATCGTATCAGAGACTCTGTTTATAGGATTTGTCCCTCAAAGACTATCATCTGTATAGTAGTAAGAATAGGCACCTGAACTGCTCTTCCAGCAAGCAAGGAACTTGCACCATATCACAGAACACTGTTTTCCTGCCATGGCTAAATGTCCTAACTTAGAAGCCACGTTGCTAACCTAAAAGGTTCGGACTGTAACTAGAATTAATGGGTTGGACCCAACTAGTTTTTTCCACTGATGAAAAAGGGAGGAAGGAATCGCAGTGGACTACCAAAAAAAGGCTCTGTGAGGAACATAACGTCATCATAGACAACAGCCATGTAATACGGGGGCTGTAACGCACAGCACTAGGAGAGATGAAGCCAGTGGGATCCAGCTGTATGAATACTGGGGATCAGTGTAAAATCGCCAATACACATTGTACAGTGTGGGTATATCATTCATTAAGAAACCTATTACAGCACTTACCTGATCATATGACACTGGTGTCTGCCTGTGATTGGACAGCTCTACTAATGTACTAACATCTGTGCGGAGGTCAGACTTGCAGCCAACCAGAAGCATTTTGGTGTTTGGACAGAATTCCTGGATTTCACCTTTCCACTGTAAAAATATGACTTGGTTAGTATACTGGTGCCATAAGAACACATTATTTTTTTAAAATTGTAGTTTTTGAAGAGACGTGCTGGCTGAAATGTTCAGTATTTGATTAAGAGCACAGTTCAAGGAAGAAAACCAACACATCTCAGATGGCTCAGTTGTGGGGGTCTGAATCCTTACCCACTAGCCTATTCACATTACATTTATGAATGTTTGGGGGAGGCATGAAAATGAAAGGAGCTTCTGACTAGCAAATTATGGTCTTAAGTATCTTCTAGCTTCTTTGAGGCAGAGGAAGCCTTTGTCTTGTTGCAACAGGTCTTACATCTCTTTGCTGCCACTACTTTGGTTCAAAGCCTCATAATATCAAGCCCTTCCTATTCCCCGGGGTTGGGGGGTGGGGGGAGGAAACCATGACATGAAATGTAGCCTCTCTTCCAGACAGGCAGGCTGCCACCACATATGTTACTCTCTTCCTCATGACTCACTGATCCAAATGAATGAACAGATATAATCACGGGTGTTTGCTGGAAGCAAGTTTAAACAGCTTCTCAGATGTCAAGTTACAAGCAGGTCTTCTACAAACAACTATATATTTAGATAAAATTATAGTGTTCAGCTATATCTCACATCCATAGTCTAGTCTGAACAGTGTGAAAATAACGTGTTTTAAATGCAAAGGTTAAAGCTTGAACACAAATGCCAAGTGTAGATTATCTCTGGTTGCGGAGGCGGTGCATGGAGAAACCACCATATTAACTCAAGTATCAGGTCACCAGCTATTCTAGCATGTAATACTGGATACGTTGGCTGTGATCCAGCAAAATTACAATAAAATTAAGGTGTATACAGTTCAGCGTTCCATATAGAATTTAGTGGATTGCATCCATGGTGTAGACTGCTGCATTCAACTGGCAGGTTGCAATCCACACCTATGTTATGATCTCATACAACATTCTCTCCTCATGTTTTAAAGGACAAGATATAAAGATAAGGAAATTAGAGGTATCATCAGAGGTGTGCCCTAGATCTGGAGGGCTTCATCAATGTAATAATTAAACAGCACAATTAATTGTTAATTGCATTTTATGAAAAAAAATACCATTGTAAACTCAGTAGGTAAAAACCAAAGCCAAGATGGGGATTTGTCCAAGCTGCTATTTATATAGGATCTGAATGTCTCTCTCCTCTTTCTACTCCACTAGACTATCTTTTGGAGAACATAACAGGTCTTCAGCAAAACAATCTACAGTTTTTTTGACACTGGCAGCAGTGACAGTGGCCATCAAATGTTTATTTCAGTTCCTGTGGCTCAGACCAATGAAGCAGAAGTGGAAACGGAGCAGTAGATGACCTATTTAGTGGCTTTCTTGGTGTGGAGAAATACTGAACAATGGTGACTGACCTGGAAATCCAAGGAGCCCAGACTCTGGATTTCTTCTATCTGCTTCCCTGTATCTTTTTTGAACCATGACTCTCACTGGAGCCTATATGGATATGACAAGAATCCATAGATGTTGTTTGAAGCCCTCCTCACCATCCTTCCCCCCAAAATTTGCCGAAGCAAGAAGACACAATAAAGTCTCAGTGGCAAAGTTCAGGTAATACTCAGGACCACCAGGAACTATGGGAAGCTTTGTTCCCAATAATCGCCAGGCAATCCTCAGAATTTCAGGCCCCAAGCTTTGCAGTAGCATCCAGAGATGCTAGATACTATGAGAACCCTCAAGACTGACATTCCTGGGGATCCTCAAGACGGGCACTCCTGGCACAATCCTCATACCATCTCCTCCAATTCTTCTGTCTCCCTTAAGCAGTACAAAAATGGTAGGGAAAATTACATTCTGATTGGGCTACGTGTTATATGTAGGGTTGCCAAGTCCTCGCTGTATGTAGAGTGGGGGACTCCAGCGCCGGTCCAGGAGTGTGTGCATGTGCGCCGCAACCACATCACCCAGAAGTGATGCAACCATGTCAGGCATGCCGGGGGCGGGGCTACAATCATCTGAGGGAAAACCATAGAGTTTTCCCTCGGATGACCATGGCCCCGCCCTCAACGTGCCCGACGCAAATGCGTCACTTCCGGGTGACGTGCTGACGCCGGGCACGTTGCATGCTTTGGGGGTGGGGCCCCCCCCGGGGCCCGATCCACCGGCGGCAGGTAATGGGCCTCTCAGGTGGGGGTTTCCCTACCCCCGGGGGGACTTGGCAAGCCTAGTTGTATGCAGAGAGGCCTCTGGTCATTAGATCACTCCCAATAAGGTCACTGGGAGCTTGACTGAATTTTTAACTTTATTTATACCCCACCATTTCCCCCAGTGGTGACCCAAAGCAGCTTACATTGCTCTCTCTTCCATTTTATCCTCAGAACAGCCAGAGTGTGTGACTGGCCCAAGGTCAACCAGTTGAGCTTCCATGGCAGAGTAGAACCTGGGTTTTCCTGATGCTAGTCTGACACTTTAACCACTACACCATGCTGGCTTTGACTGCACAATATTTTTAAAAAGGACAAATATCTACCAGTCATTGCAGAAAATACTTACTATATTTTCAAGAATGAAGAGGGATGAAGGATGAAGAATACAGGCATAAAAATGTAGCAAAAACAATCCATCATCTGGCACATCAGAGTGTGCCCAGTGGCTTTGAGTCTGACTTAAAGCATTACGATTGGACTCTGGTTGGATGTCAGTCATCAGAGACCCTGGCTCCAACTTGCCACAAAATGCAGTTAGCGATTTTGTGGCACTGATCAGTACTCTGGACTATTCTGGGATTACATAAGAAGCTGCTTTATACTATTCAGACTGCTGGTCCACTTAGTTCAGTATCAGTGGCTTTGGGCGAACTGCTCTCCAAAAGCACAAGCAAAGACTTCGAGTCCACATTTGTCATGGAGAAAGGCAGTAAAAAGGTTTTTTTCCCCTTGGCTTGCTTTTTGGGTTCTTTTAACAAAAGTTGCTGAAGAATGAACATGGAAGGAATATCTTTATGAACCAGTGGCTAGTGCAGCAGGCACACAGATATTAATTAACCCTAGTAAAAGGGCACAAATGAAAACCCATGCTTAGAACTCTCAGCTGTGCTCTCCTAGGCCAGGAGACCTGAGTATGCTGGTGTAAAGAGCCGTCAAGTCACGGCTGACTTATATAAACCCTACAGAGTTTTCAAGGCAAGAGACGTTCCAAGGTGTTTTGCCATTGCCTACTTCTGTGCAACAAACCTGGACTTCCTTGGTGGTCTCTCACTGAAATACTAACCAGGGCCAACATTATTTAGTTTCTGAGATCAGGCCAGCCTGAGCCAGCCTGAGTTTAGGGGACAGAATCCCTCCCACTAATCATTATTCCAGATTCACTGCTATTGTTTTAAATATCCCATTGTTATAATTACATTGACCATCGCTGCATAAGTTTCTTGTTCTGAGATTATATGCACAGATATATGCACAGAAGGAAGCAGTAACATTTCATAGCTTGGTGTATAGATATACAGATATTCTTAGACACCTACCTTTTTCAGTACACTGTCAAGTGTTTCTGGACGGCTAACATCAAAACAAATTAAGACAGCATCAGAATCTGGGTAGGAAAGTGGGCGGACGTTATCGTAGTAAGGAGACCCTGTTAAAATAAGTGAAGTTGGTTACGATTACATGGATGCCAAAGAAACAGTACTGAACCAAAACATTTTACTCTACAGTTGAATGTGACGCCTCTTTCTTTTTTGTCAAGATGGGTAGCCATTTTTGTGCAGGGTCACAACACACATTAACTATGGCCATGTAGACATTCTCAACATTACCGCCAAATACTTCTGTAAGAAGTTTGATGTGGAGGCAGTAGCAGCTGATCCATTTGGTGAAGCGTTGTATATTATGGACTGTTTCATAGGTGCCACTTCAGGCCTCCTGTCTGTCTTCACTGGAAGGCCAAAATCTGAAACACTTCTGATGGGTTCATGGAATTAAAGTCAGGCTTGGCTGCAGAATCATGATCACTGTTTCTGAAATTTCCCAACTTAAGCCAACCTAGTAAATCTCCTTTTTTAAAAAAGGAGAGAAAGATAATTCTCTGCTTTCATTTAGGAGGACTACGGTAACAGTGACAACAACTCTAACTGTAGAAAGAAGTTGATAGCAGCTGTGCTGGTCCAGAAGTAAAACCCCAAACACCAGAAGACCTGTAACGGTGCCATTCTAAGCAGAGTTACACCCTTCTAAGCCCACTGACTGCAACTGATTTAGAGGGGTTTAACTCTACCTAGGATGGCCATTCTGAGACAAAAGCTCAGTTCACCTTAGCCTACCTTTTATCATCTGTATGAGTTTTGGTTCTCCGCATTTTGTTAAGTGCACTCCAAATCAGAAAAGGAGCCCTAGCTGTACAATATTGCTAGACGTAGCTACTTTTAGCAGGCCAGTATTCGGAACCATCAAGAAGAAGAGATTGTATACAAGGAAACCAAGCAGTTGTACTTGCTGTGTTTTGAGCCTAGCCTGTATCCGTAAATACTGTCTGATCCTGCCAAGAGTTAATTATTTACTTATAATTGCAACTAGCCTACCAGCATCTTTAGCCAACCCATACACACTACAGGTCAACATATCTCCAGATCAGTCCTTCAGATCATGATCCCTGTTCTTGACTTTTTGTGAAGGGGTATGAATGTTTAAGTGGCCGAGGACACAGAACACAGCAACCACAATGGAGTCAAGTGGCTCTGGCTCCTGTCAGAGCCCACATGAAAGAGGGCCTGAGAATCCCCACATATGCTACCTTGAGTTTACAGGTAGCACTTGAATTTTTTAAAGCTGCCCAGTGAGAGCCAAATATCCCCAATTCCAATACGCTCTTCTCTTGTGAAGAAATGAACTTCTGAGTCTACTTTTGCTTCTCTTTCCCACCAATATTTTCCCATTAATGTTATTTTAGCTCTATTTCTGCTAAGACATACATAATAGAAATACCAATAAGGCAACAAAGATGAGAGTTGAAACTGATGACAATATAACATTCCCCTCCCAAATGACAACAGATGTATCTCAACTTGAATTCTGGGGAAGGTGCAATATAAATGCAATATAGTCAGGCTTGTTCATCTGGTGTATGGTACCCAACACAACTCCATAAGCCTCGTTTTTGCATTTCCAGGTGAGCACCAAAAAAAAAAAATATAGAGAGAGTGGCTTCTCTAGCAGTCATCAGGTCTTAATATGTGCTTGGGGGGGGGAGATTGGATTTATACCCCACCCTTCACTCAGAGTGGCTTACAAACTCCTTTCCATTCCCCTCCCCACAACAAACACCCTGTGAGGTAGGTGGGGCTGAGAGGACTCTGACAGAAACTGCTTTTTCAAGAACAGCTCTGACAGAACTATGGCTTGCCCAAGATCATCCAGCAGCTGTGAGTAGTGGGGAATCAAACCCAGTTCTCCTATATTAGAGTCTGTGCACTTCACCACTACACCAAACTGGCTAGATAGAAGTTGAGCAGGCCTAGTATAGGTTAGAACTGTGCCGCTATAAAGCCAAATGAATTGCAGTCTCTATTCACTTTCCTAGCCATAAGTTCTACTGTTTCACACAAACATAGGACCTGAGCCTGGATACATTTATATAACTACTAATATTCCCCTATTATCATATCAGTAGCATCTTTACCCCAGATGTCAATTAAAAAACCTTTGAAGTTCCTAAGGTTTAATGAACTGCTGGAATCTCTAGTAGTTCATTACAGGGACCCATCTTCTGATGAAGCATTCCCCCTAGGATCCCTTTGTTGTTTTTTATGGGCTCCAAGGAGACTAAAAAGCTTGCTGAATCAGGCCACCTACCTATGGTTTAAGTATTTTTAAAATGAACCAGAGATAACTGAATGAAACCTTGGCATCTTTGCTTAAATACATGGTACTAGTGACATGTTAGGGTTCGAAGGTGCAGTAAAAACATTTACAGAATATCAGAGTCATTTACTGGTTTAGGGAGCCAGCTACACTCACAATTAAACAGATAAACACTGCACAGAAATTACAGTTTAAAAGGATTAGAAACCAGTCTGCAGCATAACCTCTTCCTTACAAAACATGCCCTGCTTTTCAGGGTATAAATAAGGTAAACTGCCAAAGAGCTCCTCTCTCCAGAACAGTCCAGCCAAAGACCACAAGGAAAGAATCTGAGGAATGCCAGTTTCTGAAGGAAACAGGCTCATATAGAATGAAGGATTAGCTAACAGAAGGTAGTCTGCAATTTCCCTCCAAGATTTCCAAGGGTTCCAATCACATGCCTAACGTATTCCTCCAAAATGGTTTTTGGAAAGGTTGCTGCTGTACATGAGCACAAAGTTGATCTGACAGCACAACATTTAAAAGTTGAACAGCCTATTTAACCACAGCAGGAAATGATGATTTCCTTTCTCTCCAAGTACTCTGTTTTTTTTTTGTCCTGGTTAGAACAGGCCCGGGTAACAGAACAAGAGTTTAGATACTTCGAAAAATAAGGCTGGCATTTCTTCCAGATATTTTAGACAAAAATGTAAACATGTCAGTGACATCCTGCTTCCCAAGGGATCAAATGGGATTGGGCTGATAGTTGCTTCATGGTCTTCTGTTGGGAGATGACAGCATTGCAGCTGCTGGCAGGCAAAGTCTTGCAAATAAGTCCATAGAAGTTAGTAGCTTAGCCTAGTTCACTACATTAATGTTCACCATCGGAGGCCTAAAAAAGGAAGGTCTTCCTTGTGAAGCCATCTGGAGGAAACTCTACTTTCCCAAAGACAACCAGGAGAGTAAGAACTTAACAATAGCCATACTTGTTCAGCGCAGTCCATCTGATCCCGCATCCTCTTTCCAACAGTGGCCAGACTGATGCCAAAGGATAACCAGCCAACATGTGACAGAGGCATTCTGCCTCTGAGGCTAGACATCCCATTCAACTACAATGGCTAATAATTAGCAAGAGACCTATCCTCCATACATTTGTCCAACCAGCAGCAACAGTGGCCGTTATCATACCTCATGACAGTGACATTCCAGAAGTCAGCACCCATTGTGTGAAGTAGTCTGTTGCTATTATACAGTGCTCGAGGGAAGAAAACAGTGGGCAGTACCCATGAGAAGAGTTCTTAGAATGGCTTGTGATGTCCTTCTTGACAATTCACAGCAAGAACTTGTAGCTGTTAAATTTAATTAAATTAAATAATTTAAAATGTTTTAATTAAAAATAAACTGATATACTGGTTTTATATAAAGGTTAATGTGGTGCAACGGATATTGAGATTCTCATCCCTATGAACCTGTTACTGTGACTTACAGTGGTCACTCCTTCAAAAAAACAGTTAGTTGCCGTAATACTATATTATTCATATTCAGTGTTTAGAGTGTTTTATAGATTGAATCGTACAAGAACCACCTTGAAAGACACTGAGTTTGAGATTTAAGGAGTGGGATCTAGCCTTCACGAATGTCCATGTGTTCAAGATACTAGGTACAAACTGGGAATGAAGGATGTCCTGTTTGGTCAGCAAGATTCCCCACCACCACCACCAAAAGGTCACACTGTTGAAAATGGAATCTTGGGCTAGATGGACCTTCCCATTTGGTCTAGCAGAGAACTTCACAGTGAGCACAGTTTTATTCTATCTGCTGTGCAAGTGGCCACTAGCATAGTATCATATGTTCTCTAGTTGTTAAAGATGTGAACTATGTTAACATTTCAGACCATCAAGGAGGCATAAATCACATCGCAATTTCCACCCACAGAAATCACTAAGCTCTGGGCATGGGTGCCACATTCCTTTCTCATCAAGAGACAGGTATGGGCAGGATCGGCCCTTTTCTTTTAAGGATCATTAAAATTTAGACAGAGGCATCACTTGCTCAAGAGAGAAGAGCCTCACCCAGAAAAAAAGAATTCCTTAGACACATACCTAAGTGCTCAGTCACCACTCTTCAGGAGATCTTACCTACCATATATGTACATGCATATACACAGCACACTGATATAAAATCAGATCTGCATTACCTTTAGCAAACTAGATGATGAAGCTTCCAGTTAGATTGTTGCAGGCTAGAACAAGTTATGTGCAATTCTCTAACCAAGCAGGATCGGAACAATAGCATTTGGCCATTTTTATTCTCTCTGGGAGAGTATGCCAGGGAATGAATGAGAGGCTTTAATGTGAATCCTTTAAGACCACATAGTAATGGCTTGCCTTACAAGAAATGTATTTTCTGGTTTCTTTCATCAGCAATAGTGGAATCCTTCATCACTGCACAAATAAGACAGCAACTTAGGAACAAAGCTGTGAGATTGAATTCAATAGGGTATTTCATCATTCCAATCTCCTTACCAGAACAAAATCCTCAGTGCCTGAAGAATCTTGGGAATGTGCACCAAGTCTAAACAGACCCTTTTCAGCACAGCTCAATAGCACTCTGTTCCACCCAAGCTGGTTTAAGAAAACTTGAAACCATGCCCAAGCACAGAAAATGCACAGGCTGAAGGCAGATTTAATCAATGCAACTCCAACAAACCTCACAAGAATGGGGAATATGCTTTCAATGCCACAACAGCCATGGGTTGGGGTGAAGCATCTGCTCCTAAGGCACCTTCTTTCCACTGTA